TTTGCTCTCAAGCCATTAGGGATGCCGATACTGGTACTTACAGCTGGTCAATGTCAGAAGGAGGTTTGAATCGAAGAATTTTAAGGTTGTAAAGGATGCGGAGAGCGGTCTCGTCCGGAGTCTCCTTAGAGATGTCAGTGTTTGCTGTTTGCGTGATCCAGCTGGAAAAATACGCCCTCTTTTCAGATTATTCAAAACCGGGTTTAAGCAATGAATATTACCTGATCACGTCGCTCAGCTGCTGTAGCAAAACATTCGGTGGCCATGTATCGAAACCGATTAGCGGAGGTATTGCAGTTGAACGGTGGCGAGTTTAGACTTTCGACGATGAATTTCAATGACTCTGATGACATTTTGGGTGGACAGCGGCTAAAACGGTCGGGAAAGCTGGCCGCCGTAGTGCTGCATCACTGTTGCTATGGAAACCGCTTCAACAAAGCAGACTATTTTGAGCGGCTCAAATGCGATGATGGATAAACAGGGTCAGTGCTTGATTCAATTAGTCTTCAAGTGTGAGCCATACACCTGATTCACTTTCTGTAGTGTAGCGATGCTATAACGTGATTCTAACAGAACGTCGTTTCGAAACCCACCTTCTGCCAGTACCGCCTGCCATTTCTGCACCTTGGCTGAAGTTCCTCTCTGCTATCCGCTATCAAGGCGATGTCGTCAGCGTAGAGGATGGTCTTCAGTGGTCCCTCCATGAGCCCCTTCACCAGGACATCTAGTGTTAGGAGGAAGAGGAACGGGCTCAGAGCTGACCTTGGTGCACCCCGTCCTGGTGTCCCACCTCATAGGATTCTCAGCTGCATTGCCCCAAGTCCGCGCGCCGGTCCCTCCAGAACTAGGAGACCACCCTCCATTATGGTCGCCCATCTGTGTTTGGTGCAACTTCCACACTATATTATCCTCTCGGATCTTACCCTTGCCTTCCATGGCACTGTCTACCAGGAGGGGTCTGTACTGGGGGCCAATTCTTCCAGGCCTCTTCTGTCACTGCCGACGTGACCATTCAGATCACCTGCTATGGTCAGGTAATCGCCTTCCGGAATCGTCTGATGGCATCGTCAAGGCTGAGATAGAACTCGTCCTTCTCACTTTCGGGGCATCCGGCTTGCGGTGCGTACACGGAGAGTATGGTCCAGTACCCCTCCGTGTCTATCCTCACAGCCATGATCCGATCGCTGATCCTGTTCACAGCGGAGACATAGTCCTTGAGCGACTCCGCTACCGCTATGGCCACACCGTTCCGCTTGGTGTCTTCTCCATTGTAGTAGAGTTTGACACCTTCCCCGATTTCCCTGGCCTTAGCACCTTTCCATCGCGTCTCCTGAAGGCATAGGACTTGGATATTCCTGCGCGTCATCAGATCAGCAACCTCTCGGGACTTCCCAGTTAGCGATCCTACGTTCAGAGTCCCTATTCGAACTAGCTTCTTTGGCCGAGGCCGTTCACTCCTCGGTAGCCCTCGCATACTGACCACAGAACTCGTTCGATGGGTTCTGCCCCGAAAGAGCTTCGTGGGGTATGCGATCCGAGTGATGCCTTAGTGTTAACACAGATACTTCTGCAACCTTGAGACATGTTTGGTGTGACGGGGGATCTTCATCAGCCGGCCTGTCAACCTGGGCCTACGTTGGTACCACGTAGAACCAACTCTTAAACCCTCCGCTATCCCTGCCCTGAATTGAGCTGATAGGTGTCCAAGTAAGTCGAAATTAGCCCTAGTGGTTCATTGCTGATGCGGGCTCTTCTCTTTAATACCTGTGTGA